CCCCACACTCAGGCCTGCAAACTGGAACGTGGACAATATAAATGGGGGCCCAACATCGGTAATAATAATTGGGATGGGCCTGACTCTAATACCATGATAAATGGACCTTGGGCCTAACTCAACCCCAAAAGCTAGCTTATGAGGTGGGGATTGCCCAAGACCATATAAGAAGACCAAGGACCTCAAATCCCACCAATATGGGACAACTCAACAAGATTAATAGGAGAAATTTATTGGGCATGGTTTTATAAAGCAAGAGCCTCATCATCAATATCCATATTTACCAGGATTTATTGCTGCGTCAATTTGAATGCCAAGCAGCTCAGATGATCCATGAGCATATGATGTGACCTAATGATGAAGACCAATATATGAGTTAGCACTAGTATTCAACATTTAGGAGAACAAATTAGTATAATGTGTTGTTTATCATGAGGAGTAAAAGGGAAGAGCGACTTAATTTCTAACAATTTCCCACATTTCAATATTAACTCAGAAATAAGGAAGTTGTTAAGTATTTTTGGTGATACGTAAAACACCAGAGCCACTGTAAGCTTGATAAACTTTAACTATAACGATAACCATTACAAAGTGGGCAATAGTAAGAAACAAAACAGCGTAAAAGTAAAAGAAAATTCAAAAAGAGAAAAAAACAATTATCACAAAAAAGAATGGATATTCGCCATAGTGCCTAGCTTCCATCAACATGCTAAATTGCTGGACGTCATTGATGGAATGTCATTTTGCCCACTGTCTAGGTAATGCAATAGAGATGTTCCGCAAAATTTAGTTTAGGATGAGGAACCTGATCTATAGTCAACGAACTGCCTTAAAGCATAGGTTCGAATTGTCGATTAGCATGATTCAAGGAGATTTAATTTTGGAGATTGTTGATTAGCATGAATTTAGGAGATTTGACTATATTTAGGAGATCTTATTTTATTTTATTTGATTTGATAGATGGATTGATTGTATATATTTATTTTATTTACTTAATTAGCATTAGGAGCTTTGTATTAATTCCCTTGCTCATGGGATGTAAACATACACTGAAATATAAAAAACCTTTTCTTCTTCTCAAAATCTACATGGTATCAGAGTCATTGCTGCCTTTTGAGGTGAGTTATCTCCCTCGCAGCATTAGGGTTCCGTTTTTATCAAAGAGGTCGAGTTTTCTCTCTCTCCTGATGGTTGTCCGCAACACAAACTCCTATCGGTCAGTTTTGTTTTTGGAATTTTCTTTTTTATTAGAGTCGCTGGAACATTCCGAACATATCCCTACCAATTTTGATTTTTTCATTCATCGGAGCTAAGGTTCGCTCGAGACAGATATGGTTTCCAGCGAGGCAGATTATTTTTGAGCAATTTTCTTTGGATTTCCTTCTGATTGGGCAGAAATATGGAGACATTCAAGGAGACGGTTTCTGAAGAAATCTTGTCTTCAAATGAAATTCAGTTTCTCCGTCGCCTCCTAGCCAAACTTGACTCCGCTAATGTTGCCACATTCAATCATGTTCAATCAGGTACTGCCTTTGCTGCTCACCTTAATTCTTGGATTGTTAGATTCTGGTGCAAATAGACATATGACAGGCTCTTCTAAAGGCATTCAAAACTATTCTCCGTGTCTCAAAGGAGATAATGTTAAAATAGTCAATGGTTCTTTAACACCTATCTCTGGAATATGTTATGTCGTTTGTACTCCTAATATTAAACTATCATCCGTGCTCCATGTCCCTGAGTTCCCTGTCAATCTTTTATTTATTAGTGCCATCACCAAGGCTCTAAACTGTAAAATCGAATTCTTTCCTGGTCATTGTATTTTTTAGGATCTTCAAACAGAGAAAAGGATTGGCAGTGGTAGATTGCGTGATGACTTGTATATATTATATGGAATTCAAAACTCTGGTCAAGCATTTTTTGGGGAAAATAAGGATGTCAACCAAGAAATAACACAGCGGCATAGACGGTTAGTACACCCATCATTCTTTGTTTTGAAAAAGTTATATGCCAATTTGTTTTCAAGGACTCGATTTGAATCTTTGTTCTGTGATGCGTGTGAATATGCCAAGCATACTAGAAACTTAACCTGTGAGTGATAATAGAAGCACAACTACGTTTATGACTATTCATTCTGATCTATGGGGTCCTGCCCAAACTGTTTCTCTATCTAGTAGTCGATGGTTTGTTACTTTCATTGATTGTTGCACTAGGATGACTTGGGTATATTTGTTAAAAGCCAAAAGTGAAGTTTTCTCTTGTTTTCAGTCATTTCATAAGATTATTTGTACTCAGTTTGATGCCAAAAACAAAAAAACTTGAGAACTGATAATGGCAGCGAATACATGGATAAAAGATTTGGTGCTTATTTGGAGTCCAATGGGATAGTCCATCAGACTAGTTGTCCTTACACTAGTGCACAAAATGGGGTCATTGAAAGAAAAAATAGGCATCTGTTAGAAGTAGCAAGGTCTCTTATGTTCACCATGCATCTATCAAAACCTTACTAGGGGGATGCTATTCCGGCGGCTGCCTATCTTATCAACAGAATGCCACTTAAACCCCTCAATTTTCAAAGTCCTTTGGAAGCTTTAAAAGGTAAGAATGAATATGTTGTTCCTCCAAAGGTGTTTGGGTGTGTTTGCTTTGTCCACACTAGAATTCTGGGAAACTTGATCCTAGAGCTATAAAGTAGGGGTGGGCATAAAATCCGAAAAATCGAATTCCGAACCGGACCGAATTAATTCGGTATTTCGGTTTCGGTTTTTTCGGTATTTCGGTTCAATTCGGTACTAAATTTTCGGTATTTCGGTATAACGGTACGGTCCTCGGTAATAGGATCTTGACAATTCGGTATACCGAAATACCGAATTTTTAAAGATCATGTAGGACCTATACACTACCCAGCCCAAGTGCCAGACCCAATATTTTAATTCTCTAGGAGCCCAACCCAATAAGACTACCCAGGCCCCAGTTAGGCAGTTACCCTAGTTTCATACTTTCAGTCTTTCACTCTCACTTGGAATTGGTAATTAGAAACCTAAGAGATCGGCTAACCGGCCACGGCTGTGACCTGTGAGAGAACTCCGAGAAGTGAGAATTGAGAAACAATCTTCAATCTTCAACTCTTCAAGACTTCAACAGGTTCATAACTTTTACCCACATGTTGAAACAATCTCTTGAGAGAGAAATTTTTACCCACTTTTACCCACATGTTTTCTGCTTATTCTCAGTTCATTCATTTCAAGATTTATTCTCCTTGTTTGAATTTCATTAGCACTAGTTTGAAAAGTTTGTTAAATTATGTAACGGGTGTTTCATTTTATATGACACTGTCTCATTCATACATTGTTTTTTAATTTAGAATTTTTTTTTTTAATTCTGCTGCTACTATTAATTCAAAAATTAATTTTGTTCTCATTCTGTTGTTACTGTTAATTCTGCTACTGCTACTGTTATTTCTGCTACTGTTAATGTTGCTACTGTTAATTCTGCTACTGTTAATGCTGCTACTGTTGCATATACTTTCTGCCAAAAGATTACATTAAACTTGGCCATTTTCAGAGAAAAAATTTGCAGCCTATTAATGCTGCTACTGTCGCATGTTTGTTGAATAGTGGATTAAGACATTAAGCCACAAGAATGTGAGTTGGCTCCAAATGCTAGCATTAGAAAATGCATCATCTCTATTTACTTCTTTCTGAAGAAATGGCTGTTCAATTTCATTGTATTTCTTGGATGAACAGTTAGACAGTGCATTGAAACATAGGAGAATTGTCACTCGTTAGTGTTGCTTATTTAGCGAATATTAAACCGAAACCGTACCGAACCAAAATAATAAATACCGAACCGTACCGAAATATTTTGGTACGGTATTTGGTATACACAATTGATAATCCGAATACCGAAATACCGAACCGAAATTCTCAAATACCGAACCGAAATACCGAATGCCCACCCCTACTATAAAGTGTGTTTTGAGTGGGTATTCTCCGACACAGAAAAGTTACAAATGTTATCATCCTCCCTCTAGGAGATCTTTTGTTAGCATGAATGTTATCTTTCGAGAATCTGAGCCATATTTCAGTATTACCTCATCACCTCTTCAGGGGGAGAGCAGTAAGGGGGAGAGCAGTAAGGAGGAAGAGGTGATTCCACCTAGTTCCATTACTAGACCTCTTGATGACTTTGTCACAGGGGAAAGTGAAATTGGAGAAAGAATTCAGGGGAAGACTATTGGGCATTTGGATAGGCCTGATTAAGAAAACTTAATCAAGGAGAAATAAAGCAGAAGAATACATCATGCAATCTACCGAAGCTGAACCTTCTTCTACTGGTTAGATATCTACATTTCCTAATGAGTTAGATGTGCTTATTGCCTACAGAAAAGGAGTCAGATCTTGCACCACCAAACACCCTTTATCTAATTTTATCTCTTATGATTCTTTGTTTCCCTCTGATAGAGCCCTTGCCTTATCTATTTCTTCTGTATCTATTCCCCAGAATTGGAAGAAAGCTTTTGCAGATCCTAAATGAAAGTAAGTTAAGAAATGAAGGCCTTGTCAAAAAATAAAACTTGGGAACTTGTCACTTCACTACCAGACAAGAAGTTGTTGGCTGCAAATAGTTCTTCACTATGAAGCACAAAGTTGTTGGCTCAATTAAAAAGATTCAAAGCAAGATTGGTGGCTAAGGGATTCACTCAGACTTATGGAGTGGATTATCAAAAGACATTTGCCCATGTTGCAAAGATGAACACTATTAGAATTCTTTTGTCTTGTGCAACTAATCTTGATTGGGACTTGCAACAGTTTGATGTGAATAATGCATTTCTTCATGGAGACTTAGAAGAAGAGGTGTATATAGAGATTCCTCCTAGATTTGATACTGTACAGAGTCAAGGAAAGGTATGCAGATTGAAGAAAGCTTTGTACGGACTGAAGCAATCCCCCAGAGCTTGGTTTGGCAGATTCAGCAAAGCAATGAACTCCTTCGGTTACCAACAAAGCAATGTTGATCACACCCTCTTCATAAGACATCAAACGGGTAAACTCACTCTTCTCATAGTTTATGTTGATGACATAGTAATGACAGGGGATGACAAAGAGGAGATGGCCCGATTGAATAAGTTGTTGGCACATGAATTTGAGATCAAGGATCTAGGAAAATTGCAGTACTTCTTGGGAATTGAGGTTGCAAGATCCAAAAGAAGAATCTTTATTTCTCAAAGGAAGTATATTCTGGATCTCTTGAAAGAAACTGGTATGACAGGTTGCAGACCCGCAGAATCTCCCATTGAAAGCAATCACAGGTTACAAAGCGGAGTTGGAGAGTCAGTTGATAAGGAGAGATATCAGAAGTTAGTTGGAACTCATTTATCTCTCCCACACTAGACCAGACATAGCCTATTCAGTTAGCTTGGTGAGTCAGTTCATGCATAATCCCCAAAATCCTCATATGAAAGTTGTCTTTCACATTTTGCGGTATCTGAAGTCTGCTCCAGAGAAGGTTTATTTTTCTCCAAACATGATCACCTCCGAATAGAAGCCTTTACAAATGCGGATTGGGCTGGATCTCTAGATAACAGAAGATCTACATCCGGTTATTGTACGCTCGTATGAGGAAACTTGGTTACTTGGTGAAGCAAGAAGCAAAGTGTAGTTGCTAGATCAAGTGCGGAGGCAGAATATAGAGCTATGGCCCAGGGTGTTTGCGAACTACTTTGGCTACAAAAGCTACTACAGGAACTGAGACTGTCTGAAAAGGGAAAACATTCCTTGTACTGTGACAATAAGGATGCCATCAGTAAGCTCATAATCCAGTCCAGCATGACCGAACAAAGCATGTGGAAACTGATCGGCACTTCATCAAAGAAAAAGTTACAACTTGTGTCTTAAGTTTGTTTCATGTGCCATCGGAAAAACAACTAGCTGATGTGTTTACCAAAGGTTACAACAAGCGAACTTTCCATACTTTGAGTTGCAAGTTGGACATGTGCGACATCTTTGCACCAACTTGAGGAGGAGCGTTGATTAGCATGATTCAAGGAGATTTGATTTAGGAGATTGTTGATTAGCATGATTTCAGGAAATTTGATTATATTTAGGAGATCCGATTTTATTTATTTGACAGCTGGATTGATTGTACAGATTTATTTTATTTCCTTAATTAGCATTAGGAGCTTTGTATAAATTCCCTGACTCATTGGATGTAAACATACACAAAAATATAAGAAGCCTTTTCTTCTTCTCAAAATCTATACTAATTTTGGAAGTAGAAGCAACAATATGCAAGGTATCTCTTTATTGCTTCTATACCATGTCAGTAATAAGCATTTGTGAAATTCATGTATTATCTATGGAGGTTCCTAAGTTAATATTTCACAGTTCTTCTAACTGTAGCAAACTGTTACTCTTCAATATCAATGTGATAAGAGAAAGAGCAATCATAACATGTTAATCCAAATGGTGTGACCAGAAAATGAGAATGAGCAGCACAGGCGAATGGAGCAATACGGACTTTTAATGAAGATGAAGACATTCAGTCACTGCCTGGTAGCATAGATAAATTGATGCAACATTAAACTGAAATCCAAACAACATAAACAGACCTCAATTCTTGATACCACCCCTTTGGTCACAGAAATAGTATCTCCTCCAAGCGGATAACCTACAACAGTTACAGCATCCTGCAAGTCAGAAATAACTTCCAGCTTAAGAATTATACCTATGTAAATTGCAACAGAACTGGACAGATTTAAATTTGGGTATTAAAAAAAAAAGTCAAGATTTCAACTGAGCTTCAATTGAAAATGGTTCAGCAAACTTCAAATGATAAAGTTATATATCCATATGGCTATTAGAGGTTTTCACTCTCTGTGAGCCACAAATTAGCTATTCACAAAAATTAAGCAAGTTTTTTTAGCAAAGATTTCCTAAATTTCATGTAGATTTACTATTATTACTCCTCATACAATAATTACATCCAAAGAAAAGCTAACCATCAACTATTATTTCTACAATTGAAGCCTAACATTATACCAAGCTGCTGGCATAAATAAGACATACCAGAACCACTAATATCAGAACCAATCTCAACCTTATGATAGAGTATCGGCAAATCCAAGATATATTCCTCCAAAATCAAGTTTGATTGGAAAACATTGTATATGACAAAATTAACATAAATGAGAAAGCAAATATTCCAAAAATACATGCATATATTTGGCAGCAGAACTTATCTGAACTGATGAATGTGAGACGCACCTGCAGATGAGGCAAGTGTCCAAAGCGGAGGGGTTCAGCTCCTTCCCAGAAGTCCTTACTTTCAACAGATAGCAAGGCTATATCACACTCCACTCCTCTAGCCAGAACCTGCATTTAACAGACGATGAAACTAAGCGTCAAAATCCAATGACATTTTAGCTTGACACCACTTTTTGGTAAAGAGCCTTTTGACACCACTTTTCACCTAAGAACACTTATCTTTCCGATAGATCAGGCCTAAATGTAATCATCTCTCACTCAGCTTCTGGTTTTCAGCATAAAATAAGAAATCTTGTTAAAAATATTCCAGGAACCAAAAATCAATTACGTTATAGCACTTTTGACACTGACTCTCGTCTATAAAAACCAACTTTTCAAACGATCAGGCCCCTATACTCACCTAGCCTATTATTCTCAACATCAAAAAAGAGATCTTATTAAAGAATAGCATCCCTTTGTTCAATTTATAGTCTAACATTTAGCAGGCATCACCAAAATGCATCGTCTTAAAGTATTTGCCGGTTGTCAAGACTCCAGATTCAATTTATTATTTAGCCTTACAAAAGAAAAGAAAAAAAAATGGAAGGGATCTATTTAGTTTACCTATCAATTGTTTAAAATCGGAAACTTTTCAGGAGCTCCCAGTGCGGATGGTATTTGCATACGCACATATGCAGAGGGACAGAATGAGAACAGTCGAAATAATGAATGGAACCACCGATAACTAGAGGACTGTAGTTCTTGTCTTCTTTAAATAAGAAATCGCACAAGACGCAGGTCAAACCAAAACTTCTAAGAAATAGTTAGCATACCCTACTGGATTTGGTGAAGTCAACATCTTTCAGTTGCACCTAATAGGCACGGACTCAACTCAGACACCTTGACCACACCATAATGTGTACACTCAAATAATAGACAAGTAAGTTTAGCCTGTACCTAATCCGCATTGAAAAGAGTAAAACGTATCTATTTGATACCTATTTTTGGGTCCAGTATGACTAAGTTAAAGAATAAAACTGTCTTTATTGTGTCAGATTATAAATATACCAAACCCTGGAACTGCACCACTTCATCTAGGCATTGATAAAAATAAAAATCAATTGCTTTTGAAGCTAATTTCTTAATTGAAGTTCCACAATTATTTGAGCGAAAAAAGAAGAAGCCAACTTCTTATTCTCTAGTAACATCTTATTTCAATAAGCATAAAATTTCCATCTTATAAATTTAATCATAATACCAAATGCAATTACTGCTCTTTGAAGGAATTAGCTGAAAGCTCCAACCTTATGTTCCAACAGACATATAACATGCATTGTCAACTAACTACTAACCCAAGGGCCCGTGGTAAACCTGCTAAGTGGGTTGTGTCACATTTCCTCTTACCAGACCCCAGGTAGAATGTTTTGGTTTAGATCAGCAAGCAGTTGGGCTGGGTGAATATCTACGTCTACCTCACCCAAGTTTGCATCCTTAAGCTACCACATAAAAAAAGATTTACAAGAAGACTCCCAGGTAATATAGGCATTGATAAATCACCATGAAAAGCATACCTTGGCAACATACTTAGTGTCATCTCCCCTTCTCTTCACTTTAACCTGCCACCAAAAAGATACTCATCTAAAAGTGCATTTTTTTATATGCATATACTAGAAAGTTTAATAACGATGTGGGTAAGAAAACCTTCTAAACATGCAAGAGGTCTCAGGTCTCCACCATTTATGACTAGCAAGTCAGAAGCCATGTATACACTTGAGAATAGTGAATAACAAAAGTAGGGCTTAAGAATGGACCTTGATGATACGTCCATCAGTTGTCAAAAACAATATGGATGGAGTAAATTGCAAAAAGGGATGGACTTTCACGTGGTGATGTGGATTAGGTGGGATATTTTTTTCCCTGGGTTAGATAACCCAAACGTGACCTCTTTAAGTTTTTTTAAAGCCAACCTACAGTTCTCTAAGACTTTGCACAGTGCCATCCAAATCGTTTAGAATTTCTCTTTGCCATCAAGTTTAGAGATTATTGCCCTTTGCTATGCCAATCATTTTTCTGGCGGAAAGGAAGTCATCCACATCTGGAGACATGAGCCTCTATTTTTTATGTCAAGTTGTTTCGCATTTGAGTAGTCCCAACACCCCTATCGCTGTAATTAGAGGGAGAAGTGCACGGAAATTTTCATTACCATGCTTTTAGATTCCCTTTCCAGCAAGTTTTTGACAAAAAAATGTTGCCGAGGATGAAAAGCTGCAACAAAGTTCAAAAAAACTAGAAAAGAAGTGTGACTATAAAATTTGTGGAAGGCACAGTGCAAAGCCTAAAAAGTAAAGAAGACAAATCGCGGAGTTACTTTTTCACTTCTACATCTTCTGCACTTTTTCTTTTTTATAACAAATCAAAAGTTTGCTTCCTTCACGGATTCACCTTTAACAGAAAAAAGAAATAAAGTGCATGTTAACCTTTTTCCAAAAACGCAGTCTAATCCTAAAGTCAAGCCTTGATCTGTGGACCGTGGTTATGGATGACCGAGATATTCCCTCCTCTCAGAAAAAGAAATATTAACCACACTTCGGTTTACATAACAAAACAGAATTACAATTATCATTTACTGGTCCTGATATACAATTCACATGTCACCATTTGCTCTAGTTTAAGAGCTTTCTATTATTTCATGAAAAATGTTTTCTAGAAAAATTCATAGCAGGCATTATAATATAAAAAAATCATATTCTAAAAAAACCAGATATACACATAGAAGACTCAGTTAATAAGAAGATTGCCAATATAGCAAAGCAAAACTGCAAAAATACCTGGGTATGATGTTCAACACAATGTGCATTTGTCAAGAGTTTCCCATCACCAATCATGAAAGCACTGAACAGATCAAACAACAGTCAGAATCGTAGACACTCCCACCCCCTGTCCTAAAAGATGTAACACACACACACACACACACAACATTGAATTATCAAACAGAACAACAATTCCTCATAAGTAATTACACATTATGGAACCGAATTCATTCCACGTCTCCTAATGAGAATCAAACGCCATTAAGCCCAATCGAGAACAACTTTTTGCAGGAAATTTTCCTTTTTCTCACAACTTTTAACGGAAATAATAAATTAGAGCGAAAGCTGGAAATGCATGCCTTCCTGTACTTGCAAATTGTCTTTGTTTCTGCCATGGGAGGGAATAATCTGGAGCGGTGTGTGTACAGTAAACCTACAGATAAGCATAATGGAAAAGGAAAAAGTTAGTCCATTACATTTTAAATTTATCATGCATTCCGGGAAATGATTAAATCCAACTGCACATGCAGATATATGTGAAACGACTATTCATACTGTTGATATAGCTACTGATGCTAAAAAGAAAATTGACTGCCATTCATTGTTTATGGAGGTCTATGTCATTTTATGTCTCATCTTAATATTAGGGTTTTTTAGACCCTAATACTAAAATATTGAAATCAACTTATGTCAAATGGAAGAGCCAACCAAGCATACAAAAAATGCACCAACAGTTTTTTTTAGGCTAGCATAAAATATTTAAGATCAGATTATGTGGTTTTCTATTTGGATACAACAATATACGGCTTAAGACATCAGATAATCGGGAATTTAGTCTCAACTCTAAACACAGCAGTGAAGATATCATTAAGCAAGGATGAGCTGAGATCAACAATTTGTTACAGGTTTAGTAGTAAGGGTCAGTATAGAATGTTGGTAGGAGCTAAAGGTTATACCTGGTAGGAGCTAAGAAAAAATACTTGGTAGGAGCTAAAGGTTCAATCCTCCACAAGTAATAATCGTAGAAAGAGAAAGTACAGATACAAATTCAGTCAAACAATTAGTAAATTAAAAAGAAATCTCGAGCTTCAAAGATGAGGCCTCCAAACGAAATGAGCATAATAAAAATATTGCCATGTTAACCACATATTTACCTTCACAACAGCATTCAGAAAAGTTGCATCTTCAATGATACCAGTTTCTACCTGGAAAAGAAAGCAACTTGGATAGAGTGGTGTAGAACAGAAAGACAACATGGAACTTCGTTTTGGGACATGATAAAGAAGAAAGGACTTATAAGCACCAAACTAATATAATTCAATGAGTAAAACCATTAAGGATCATATAAACGGGTGAATGGAAGCTAACATGGAGATAACACAAAAGTATCAAAGTACACGCGAACTTTGATTGTCCATGAGAACAGCCTTATATCTAGCAAAACCAATCTCGAGAATATTGTTGTTGTTTTCAAGCACGGCAAAGTACAGTGAAAAGGTGACACAAACATAGAAAAGTAGAAGAAAATGTATATTGCATCTCAACCAGGCTAATTAATGACTCTTATGGACATATCAAGAACATCACTGTGTGATTAAAACTACGGCAGAACCAAGATATGTGAAAAATAATAAGGCTTTTCAGGTTCTCAACTCCCCCTCCCTCAGTGACCCAGCTTTTTTCCTTTTTATTTATAGCTCTCATGAATGAGAAAGAAAGCAAGCCACCTCAACAGCACAAACAGAGGAAGTAATATTACTGTCTTTCATACCTGCTGCTCCTTTGACTCAAATACAGCTCCCTTTCCTGCTCCTTTCCTCTGCTGACCAGATGATTTAAATGCAGTTGATTGAGATCGCCCTGCTTCGTTTTTACTGCTTCTACCATCTTTATTTGCTAAATGCCTTTCGTCTTTTGATCTCCATGGGAAGTTCTGTTTACCAACTGCTTTCTGAATCCATCCTTTGCTTGTTAAATAAAATCTTTACTCATGAACAAAAAGAAAAATACCTTTTTCCTAAGTTAGGACAAAGTAACATGACAAGCTGCACGGCCACGAGTACTGAAAAACACGAACTCATAAGAGCAATTCAGGCTATATGAATCATCAAACTTACGAGGGATTCAAGCACAAGCTAACAACAACAAAAGCTTTTGCTGCGTGTTTCCTTCACCAAAACTTTCTTTCACTAATTCACTAGTTATATCTTTTTCATCAAGTGACAACAGAACAAACAAAAAAAAATTTGAATTCCAACTTCTCTAAAAGAGTGTTATAGGAAGTTGCCAAAAGCAGAAGATATAATAGCCTTTGAAGAATACAAGAGAGCTAAGGGAGAAGCTAAGAAGGCTATTAGTAAAGCCCGAGGGGAAGCTCTAGATGGCTTGTTCCAAAAGTTAGGGACACGAGAAGGGGAGAAAGAATTTAAACTAGCACGACTGAGAGAGAAGAAGGGTAAGGATTTAAACCAGGTGAAGTGTATTAGAGACGATTCTCAACAAGTGTTGGCATGAGATAACGAGATCAAAGAGAGATGGAGAGGCGATTTTGCTCAATTGTTCAACTCAGATCAAGAGAATAACATTTTAGACCACTATATGTGTGTGTATGATAGAAACTTTAACTACACTCGTAGAATTAGGACGATAGAGGTAAAGAATACCACGAAAAATATGAGGATTAGAAAAGCTTGTAGTTCAGATCGTATCCCTATAAAGGTTTGGATGTGTCTTGGAGAGGTTGGAGTAGAATGGCTCATCACGCTATTCGATGCTATACTAAGAAGTGGTAGGATGCCTGATGAGTGGAGGAAGAGTACCTGTATGCCAATCTACAAGAACAAAAGAGATTCAAAGTTGTGCAAACTATCATGGCATTAAACACATGAATCATATGATGAAACTCTAGGAAAGAGTGATAGATCGTAGATTTAGGAACACGAGAAGAGTGACAGAGAACCAGTTTGGATTTATGTCCGGTAGATCTATAACAAAGGCATATTTTTTTTAAGACGATTGATGGAAACATATTGCAAAAGGAAGAAAGATCTACACATGGTATTCATTGACCTAGAGAAAGCATATGATAGAGTACCACGAAAGGTCCTTTGATGGGTGATGGAGAAGAAAGGAATTCATATTAAATATATAAATGCCATAAAGGACATGTATGAAGGAACCCTCACTAGTGAGAAAACAACAGTAGGAGATAAGAGGAGTTTCTTATAATAGTGGGTTTACACTAGGGGTCGGCATTGAACCACAACTTGTTTATCCATTGATGAGCTAACCAACACAATACAAGATGAAGTCCCATGAGGTATGTCATTTGCTGATGATATTGAATTAATTGATGAAATTAGCGAGGGTGTCAACCAAAAGCTTGAACTATGACCGGCCATCCTTGTTCATAGTGGTCGGGGAGTTTTCTCCAAACTACTGGTCAGGAGTTTAAGGATGGTAAACGGTCTCAAAACAAAAAGACTAAATACAATGTAAGTTTAGGCAGCATCAGAAGAATGGAGTTGAGGTGAGACTAGATGGGATTTCGATGCCAAATGCAACAATTTAGATATCTAGGATCGTTGTTTCAAGAGAATGAAATAATAGATGAAGATGCTACTCATATGATTAAAATCGAAATGATGAAACGCAAAAGTACTACAGGGATGTTATGTGATAAAAGGATGCCTAAGAAAGTGAAAGGTAAGTTCTATCGAACAGCTATAAGACCTAGAAAGTTATATGGTAGTGAATGTTAGGCTTCTAACTATACAAAAACGAATACCAAAATGGATGTTCGATCATAAAAGATTAGATAAGATTAAGTGACTACATATGCATTAAGGATAAACGACAGAAGATCGCTTAAGATGGTTTGATCATGCCCTGCATCGACCTACATATGCACCAGTCTGTAGGTGTGAAACTATAGTGAGTGAAGGAGTTAAAAGAGAACAGGGTAGACCTAAGATCACATGGAATGAAGTTGTCTCGAAAGACCTACAAATTCTTTGAATCAATGCAGACTTAAAGATATAGCATAACGAAAGAAAAAGATCCATATAGGTGATATCTACTAGTTGGGAATAGATTTTAGACTTGTCAGAACTTCTACTTTATTTTATTTGGTATGATGATGATATGACTTGAGCTAAATGAATAAGTGAGGACAACTATAGCTGACCCCAACTTGTTCGAGATTGAGACATAGTTAGTGTTGTTGCAACTTCTCTAGTTGTCTTCTATCTCTTTGTCAGCTATTGTTCTTTACATCTTGGCTAATGGAAATCATGCATGAACATATCTGTATCATATCCACTGCTTATATCTTTCTACCATCTACTGCCAAGAAAAAACATAGCAATACAAGCATTCATGTGTGCATTTTACAAACATAATAAAATCCAGTAAACCCAAAATCTTAAATTCATTGGTCATTTTTGCACTTACCTCAAGGGGTATAATTACTGATTCAAGACTTATACTAACCAGGAAATTATTAACACAAACCAATACGTCGGCATTTTCTAAAAGTAAACAGTTCAGAATTCAAAAACGCAATAAAAAGACCTTTTTTATTAAGATTAAAGAATAAAGCCAATGCTTAACTGGAAATTAATTAAAGACAAGAAATTGGGCTTGGTAATGTACCTCTGAGGTGGAATTCTTGAGACCCTTCTTTGGATCTTGATTCTGATGTACAGCTTTAGGAATAAATAAAGAAGAAGAAGAAGAAGAAGAAGAAGAAGAAGAAGAAGAAGAAGAAAAGGGTCTTATGGGTGTTGAGAAGCGGTAGGACGTTAGAGAGTATAGTGAAGTGCCGGCAGAGAACCAGCACGTTGCAGCTGCAGCTGCCATATTTATGTACTAAGAAGACGTAGCAAATGCAATGAGAAGACTAATTGGCTATAGTGTTAAAGAAAGGAACTTGGACTGTTTTCCTTATCCACAAAGTCGTCCTGGTAAGGTAAATATTCACACCTTTTTGGGTTTTGGCGCCTCCTCTCTCTTGTGACCGGGTCCCCCAAAACAAATCAATTAGCTACTTAAATAATAGGTTTAAGGTATTTTTTCGGTTTCTACGGGCTATTTGAAACTTTATTATCAAAAATATCAAGTTTTTCGTATTTACCCGACCTAAACACGCTTTAGCTACAAAAGATATACATTTGTTTAAACTAGAATCCTTTCTGCGATAGTCTTCCTTATTTAGACGTGTAATTTTGGGATCGCTTATATTTCAATTAGAGATTTTACTGATGCAATCATCGCATCATAATCAAGGCAACATATTTGTATAATCCTTCTATTATGCATATTTTCTTTGGTTATCATCGCACCATAATCAAGGCAACATATCTGTATTATCCTTCTATTCTCTGATTTTCTCTAGTTTCCTCTGGTTTTCCACAAACAAAGGTTTTGAAGGAAACAATTACAAACAATTAGCTACAATTGAATTAAATTTCGCGACATAATGTCAAAATTAGCGATTATGCTTCAGCTCAACGGTCAGTGGGATAGCGTTGGGAGATACAAAAATTTTGATGTTGACGGAATTGTAGTCAATAGAGATTCAAATTATAGTCAATTGAATTCCGCAATTGCAGAGCATCTAATGATCGATACCTCCGCAAAAATCATCGAAATCAAATACACTGTCAATGAACGTTGTCCTCCAATGAAAATTTGAAACGATATGGGAGTTTGAGTGTATATGGAGACGAAAAAGGAAAACAAAAACATAGGAATGTATCTACTGTGTATAATAATGCGTGATTTCGATTTGGAATGCAGTATGTCGAATGCGAGCACAATTGCAGGTTTGCTCTATTTTTCCAGTGCTAATGTTTTTTCCAATTTCAAGTGTTTTACAATTTTACTACAAATTATCTACAATAATACTACATAACAAATGTAGTTCAACTGTTATGTCCCTACAAGTTTTCTGTCAAATACTAAACACTTGAATATACAGAGGTTTGAATTACTATACTTTTAATTGAGTGCAGGTACTTCTGATTATCGTAATACTAACGTGGTACAATTGTCAAGCAATTGTAACACAATTGGAAAAGTATCAGGAACAGTGAAGTTGATTGATATGCAAACATCTCCGACAATTGTGGAATATGAAAGTATCATCATAACAGAATATACTCATAAGGGTGAAAAGTGCATGTTTTGAGTGTGTTAATTCTTGTGTGAATTGCGGGAGTTCACATCGCTTTTGAAGTAAAAATATGCTCATTACATGTTTATTATGTGTAGGAACAAACTTGCGCGGAAAAGGATCAAATGGGGGGAAATTGGTGAAAAGGAGCTGAAGAGAAAAGTCTCGGACAGCGAAGCGAGGGTCACTTCGCCAAATCGGGACCGGAGCAGAAGAAACCAGAAAAGTCCCGGACAGCGAAGCGAGGGTCACTTCGCCAGATCGGGACCAGAGCAGAAAAATATCACCTTTTCCAATTCGAATCAGGAAAAGCCAATTTCGGCCCAAATAAACCCTAAACCATATAAATACGAGAGTTAATCACTTTTTAAAAGAGAGAAGACCCTGGGGAGGCAAGAACACACTTGGAAGCAGAGAGAATCCATAATAGAGTTCGAAAACCGTGGAATTCATCTTGAGTTCTTCTTTTTCCCTTCTATTATTGATTTTTATATATTCTTGGAAATTAATTGAGATTGCTACCATGACTATGTGTGGCTAAACTCGTTCATTCTAGGGTTATGGTTTTACATGAATGTTGATATTTGAATATTGATTTGATGATTTAATTTATCATGTTGGGTTGTTTATTCATATCATGAGCCTAATTATTTTACTGCCTAGCTAGCAGTAAAATACTATATATGAATCTTGAGTTGAACTTGAAAGAGGTAATTCTTGATTGCAATAGGATTGAATAGAGTGCGCTCTTGAATCTAATAATTGGGGAATTGATTTGCGAATACGGATAGAGATATACCTATTTGTCGTGCTTAGTCAATTGTGCAAAAGATTATTAGTGCATTCTTTTTATCTATAATCTCATAGAAATATAGGGTTTAGAATAAATTGAATAGGCGAGTAGAAGTTGTCGAATTTCTACGAGTATCATTGTCTTTGCAGATTAATAACCCAGATAAATTAATAAGTTAAGTTAATTGAAGAATTCGACAGGATTGTTACATAACCATAACCTTGGAATATTATTTCTCATTGAATTAAACCTTTCGTGCTAAGTGTGCTAGTTAATTAGTTATTATCTTAATCATAATTTTAATTAGTAGAATTAACAAAAAAAATCACCATGAAATTGTTCTTGACTCGATAAATTAGAAATTGCTTGATTTAGTTGATAATTGATCACAAGTCCTCGTGAGAACGATACTCTACTCACACTTTATTACTTGATTGACCGCGTATACTTGCGTGTGCGATTTAGGAAAATACATACGCCAAATGTAATTGAAGTAGGCCAAGTTTACCAAGACAAGCAAACAATTGTCAGTGCAATGAAGCATTATTTTGTCATGAATAAGTTTCAATTTAGGGTGAGAAGGTCTAGTGCAAGAAGGTAGGAATATTTTATTTGTCAAATTCATACTGTGCATAAGTTGTAGTTTTTTTGTATATAAATTATATATAAATTTCTTAAGACAAGTTGTTGTGCATAAACAACCTCGTATTTTGTAGCTACAATTTGCATAATATTTTTTGAATTATTTTTATTCTGTAGCTACTGTCTCATATGTGTTGGGGACAATTGTACGTGGCACTTCAAGTCCACCAGCATAAGTGAATCAACATTGTTCAAGGTTCGAAAATTTAACAGCTTGCACATATGATCTATATGGAAAACACATATATACAATGCAAACCTACTGCCATGGTAGTTGGCAGCATGGTGATGCCAAAATATGCGGATCCTAAGACAATATACACACCAAAAGACATACAAACTGACATGTTGTCGGATCATAGTGTAAACTTAACATACATGCAAGCTTGGAGAGCAGAGGAAAAGGCTTTGGAATTTTTGAGAGGCCATCCTGCTTATTCCTATAGTCGTTTGCCGAGTTATTTGTATATTATGGAGAAGACTTATCCGGGTCGGTAATGAAATTGCAGAAGATTAAAGATAATTATTTCTTGTATATATTTGTTGCACTTAGTACGTCCATCAAGGGTTGGGAGCATTGTAGGCCAGTTGTAGTAGTTGATGGCACCTTCTTGAAGTCGGCATATAGGGAAATCATGCTAACAGCTAGCATAATGGATGCAGCATGTAATGTAGATTAATTGTAAAAATATTGTTATAAAGTTGTTTTTGAGATAGTATTTTTTATATTTTCAAGTTTTATTACAAAAATTGCATTTTTTTTTTGCTACCTATGTGATAGGTAGCATATTACCACTAGCATATGTCGTTGTTAATTCAGAAAATAACGCATCGTGAAGGTATTTTTTGAGCAATTCAAACATGCATACGGTGAAAAATCAAATACGTGTATTGTTTCGGACCGGAATGAGAGTATCTTGAAGGCAACATCTATTGTTTATACCGGCATGCCACATTATGCCTGCATGTGTCATATTTGGATAAATGTAAGGTCAAAGTTCAAGAAGGGTCATTTAAAGTTAAGCGAACTGTACTTTATCACGACACTATCATACACGCTTGATGAATTTAATGAAAGAATGTCAAAGATTGAAGAGATCGACACACGTGTTAAAGCATACATATACGATATTGGCTATCACATATGATCTCGGGTATATGCTATGGTGAACAGAACATGGACGATGACATCAAACATTGCAGAGTCATTGAATGCGGTAACCAAAGATGCAAGAGAGCTGCCCGCAGTAGAACTATTAGAGTACATGAGTACTCTTCTTGAATGTTGGACTAATGAAAAGTTATTGAATGCAAATGGTACGTTCACATACCTTGGGAAAAAATACAACAAAGAGTTGGAGGACAATAGGACATTATCACAGAAGATGAGAGTAGGTTATAGCCAATAACATCAAATCATTGATTCCATCAAACTAAATATACAGTGTTAATTGTATAAATGTTGTTGTATAATTGTAGTTATTTTGTTTTGTATATGTTGCTGACAACTTGTGTGCTTGTAATAAAATTATAGGAGAGGGCTTCAACAGATTACATCCATAATGTGATAGATAGTGTGAAGCGCTTCATTGTTTGCCTTCAAAACAAGAGATGTAGTTGTGGACAATTCCAAATCGATGAACTTCCTTATCCACATGCTTTGGTGGCTTTGAGGCACATGAACGAGCCTTATGAAAACTATTATTCTCCTTATTACACGAGGGAGAGCCTTATGCAGACTTATGAAATACTAGTAGACCCGCTACCTAGTTAAAGCAAATCGAATGTGCCACAACATATAGCCGAAGAAGTTGTAAAGCCACCTACCGGGAAAAGGCAGTTGGGGAGACCTCAAAAATAAAGATACAAACCATATGATGAAGTAAATGCAAAGAAGTACAAGGTTTCATGTGGCAACTGCGGACTAGAAGGGCATAACAAAATATCTTGTAGGAATGCCACCAAAAGAAAATAAAAATCAATACAGTTTAAAGTTTTTTTTTACTAAGTAGTGTTGATGGTAATCTGCTCTTTAAGACATATGAAGAACATTTGTTCTATTCTGGAGAATTATAGTTGTGGTGTAATTGTGTTGCTAATTTTAATAAAAGCTGTCTCATATAATGAATGTTTGCTAAACAGATTTCAACTCTTAATACAATTGGTTTGTAGTTGTTTTGTTCAAATACTGGGTTTATTTATTACTTTTCAGCCTTTCCTAATAACACTGCTAAAATTGAATAGATTATATATTTTTGTATAGTAGTTGTAGACATAATTATAGTTATGCTGTAAATAAATTATATAGTACCAATATCGAGATCAAGTACTAA